TTGCATCATCATTCTTTATAGAAATGGAAAACATTTCCAACTTTATGTGGAAAGGCAAGGAATTCTAGATTAGCAAAGTACTACTAAAGAAGAAGATCACGTAAGATATGTCAAAATAATCATTTATAAATTATCAAGGGTTCACGAGGGAGGGGAGAGCGGGGAGGGAGGGGTAAAAAAATGAGGACCTGATGCTGGGGGCTTAAGTGGAGAGGAATGTTTTGAGAATGATGAGGGCAATGAATGTACAAATGCGCTTTACACAATTGATGTATGTATGGATTGTGATAAGAGTTGTATGAGCCCCTAATAAAATGATTTAAAAAAAGAAAAAGAAGAAGATCAAAACCTACATAGCTATGGTAGTCAGAATAGTATGGTATTGGCACAATGACAACTACAAAGATTAATGGAACCAAATTGATAATCAGAAGTAAATCTGTCCACCATGGACAACTAACCCTTGACAAGGGCCAATACTCATTGAAATTTTGAAGAGATAGCCTCTGAAACAAATGGTGATGAAAACCTGGATATCTATTAGCAGAAACTTAACAATTGTATCTCTCACCATATGAAATAATAACTCTAGATTTATCAACTTTCAACCCAACCATAGACAGGTCTCTAAGATGAACACCAAGGAGGTACACACTTCTTACAACAGTCGACCCTTTGATATCAAAAGGGCAACATTTACTCAAGGACAAAGCTCAGAAGGGTTAGGAAAGGAGGAGGGGTGGAAACGGGAAACACAGAAGGCAGTGGGTTAAGTGCTGCCACATTGAGGGCATTGCAATGAAAGAGATGAAACATTTGTGCCACCTATGCCCTCCAGTTCATCTCATACCTAGAACTACCTAAGAACACTTTCTACCCACTTTGAATTTCTTATCTAGTCTTCTACTTTGTTTTATAACAAAGTATATAAGTGCTTTATATGTGTACGAATTATTCATATTGTCTGGGGGTTTCCACTTGTCTGTTGTAATTAAGGCAGAAGCAGCATTTTGAAGCTTTGAAAACTTAAAAATGCTTTTAAAAAAGGTTATTTTTCCATCATGGAAGTTGCACAAGCCAATTGAGAGACATGCAGAAGTTCATTCTTGCTCATCCAGGTTTAATGCAGCCAATGAGAAACCTCCGGGTGTTCTGTCTCGCAGGCATCGTGGAGTGCATGGCAGCTGGCACCGTTATCCTGGCTCATAACTCAGGGGGCCCAAAGCTGGACATCGTTGTTCCCCACGAGGGCGACATCACAGGGTTCCTGGCGGAAAGCGAAGACTCCTACGCTGAGAAGATGGCCCAGATCCTCTCCATGCCCACCGAACAGAGGCTGCAGATCAGAAGGAGGGCCCGGGCGTCCGTGCACAGGTTCTCCGACCAGGAGTTTGAACTGGCTTTCCTGCTGTCCGTGGAGAAGCTCTTCACGTAACGCCACATCTGCACAAACCGAAAGACATCTTACAGAAAGCGACTCAGCGTCTTCACGGGGACATGTTTTTCTGAATGGTTCCCAGGTGTAATAAAGTCAGCCCCAGTGATGTGTCCAGCTGTATGTATATGGCCAAGGTATTTATTTTCATGAACAACAAAATTACAGAAATGAAAAAGGTTCTCTTATGTGGCGCCTCAAAGACCCACAAGTTTAAATGTGAATGTTTTAAACTAGGGCTCAGTCTCGACTTCTGATAAATCCGGATTATAACAAAGAAACAAAAAAATCACCACCTGGAATTTTGGAATTGTCTACATTTTTTTAAATGTGGGGAGGTTTTGTCAGATGATTTCACTTTGAAAAAGCCAAAGGAAATGAATGTACAAATGCGCTTTACACAATTGATGTGTGTATGGATTGTGATAAGAGCTGTATGGTACATGAGAGTCGGAAGTGAAGAGGGGGAGGGGGCATGGGTGGAGGGAGAAACAGGGTGGGGAGAGACTGGTTTGGTGGCA